TCTTTGTCTTCTCCGTTACATCTCTCTACCAAATTTGGCAGAAGAAAACAAAAATCTGACGAAGAAAGAATCACCAATCTAAGGTCTCAATCGCGGAATCATCGTAAATCGGTCATCGGAATGACTGTCTCTTGGTCATCGTAATTGCCATGGTCTGAAGGTTTATATGGCGATTCTCTTTTCTCTCGCAAACTGGTCGAAACGTGAGTTTTTATAGTCTCGGTCGTTCTCTGTTTCTTCATACTCTTATTACTCTTTGTCGATTTAACTTTGTGAAATCACATATGCTAGTTCTCGTTCTAATTTGTTTAGCTTCGAATCAAGTGCTTGTCTAGTAATAAATTTTGCTTCCACTACAAGAAAACATTCCAATTTTGACTATCAATTTGGTCTAAAATTGGTAAAAAAACAGCTATTTCTGACTAATACTTGACCAAAATCGATTCATAAAAAAATTGATGGTCGCAAATGAAATTTGGTCTAGAAAATAGTCAAAACGTTTTGACCAAAAAAAATGGTCAAAATTTTGGGTTTGACCAACAAAGTGATCAAAATTTTGATTATGACCAATAAAATCGTCAAAATTTTTTGATTAATCAAAATGGTCGGAACTATATATTTTGACCAATTTTAGACCATATATTCTAACCAATTTTTGACCAGCTTAGATATTTAAATTTTATAACTATATTTTGGTCAACTCGAAAAATTTGAACAATATTTAAAATATTTGATTCATAATAATTAAAATTAAATTAAATATTTAAAAAAAAAAAATATTTCATAAAAAATATATTCGAAAATATAAAATTCAAATTTAAAATATTTAATTTATAATAATTTTAAAATATTCACTCAATCATCGATTAAAATATTTCAAAATTTAACTATTTGGGCCATGAAGCCCATTTACGTTTTTCACAATGGAGTAAGTGTTATTTTATAGAGAAATTCAAAGTTTCATCTCTCCCATATTGGCGATGTGGGACAAAGACAATAGAAGTGTTCTCCTCAATATTTGGTCGATAATGTTGTGACCAATTTTTGTCAAATATTTATTCGTCAAAAATTACTCACGAAATTTCGACCAAATTTTGTTTTAGTCGATAAATGGTAAGAATATTTTGACTATTTACTGACCACTTGTATTAGTAAAAAAAAAGTTTGATCATATTTTGACGAGTTTAAATTTTCATAATTTTTTGGTCGAAAATTTGTCAACAAATATTTTGACCAAGTTATTGGTAAAAAAATTGGTCAAAAATTAACATGTTTTCTTGACCAATTTTCAATCAATCTTCTTTATCGCAAGTTTTCGACCATTTTTTGACAAATTTACGAATCCGTTAAAAATTGGTCGAAAATTTTCGACCAATTTTTGACTTTTATATTTTATCATATTTTCTTGCCCAATTTATAACGAAAATAAATATTCGTCTAAAATTGGTCGAAAATGATCAAAATAGTTTTGACCACAAAAATATTGGTCAAAAATTGATATGTTTTCTTGTAGTGTTCTATGGAATATACAGATCTCTTTTCCTCTTGTCTAGTAATAAAATTTGTGAAATATCTATGATTACTTGACGAATTTGATAGATTTTGGTGTTATTGTGGTAATGATTGTTGTTTTTTGATTAGGTGTTTAGATGCTAATATCAGCAGCTTGAGCCTTGTAGAGTTAAATTGATTGAACTGCAATTTTGGGGATTTTGAAATGTGGTTACTCCTCTAAACTGATGTTGGGTTTCATGAACTGGTTATGTTCTTAGATTTGAAGTTAATGTTATCAAAGCTATAATCTTTAGATTTGCAGGAGAAGTGCCAATTACTGATTTTTAGACATGGATTTGGAAAGAGAAAAGAAGAAATTTGGATTAAAGCATAGCTTGTCCAAGAACAGACGAACCAACGCTATTACCACTATCACAAGCTCTAATTTTGCAACATCAACGCCATGACACAAAGTACAACGCCACGGCATATTTTCTGTGGTATAAGGATACACGAGAGAGGTTCCTAAAGAGATTATTTGGGATTTAGATGCACATGGACAAGGTTGATGTTTACATGTCACAGAAACACCAAAACGTCGTGGCAATGGTCGGGCTTGAAAGGTCGGGCTTGAAATTGAAGGATTATAGTCATAAATTGAAGGATTTGTGGATTAGTAATTATGGATACTTTTGTTGTGGATAAGGTATCCAATTTGTTACACTTAGATTCATTGTTCTTGAGATACACTTGGTGAGAGCATCCAAAATTGAATATGAATTCGACTTAACCTGCACGTTCTTACTCTCTATAAACTTAAGAGTTTACTAATTTCGTTGGGACTATAGAATTCATATTGTGTTATGTGGATGACGACTTATGGTTAATGTTATATGGATGATTTTTGTATTCGATGGATTGTGAATTATGGTTGGCCATATATGGACGAATGTAGGGATGATAAGCTATAAGCATAATGGATGGTAGATATGAGTGAATGGCTGGTAGTATGTGGAAGCATGGAACCGTTGGCTCTAATTAATATGGTGTAGAGAGATGTAGAAAAATGTTGTATAAAGAGGAGGCTTTGTAGCATACCCCATTTGCCCATATCAGTCTTAAGAATATCACCGTCATCGCATACATGACCATCTAAAAAGTGACCATTGTTACATGACCATCTATAACGACCATCTAAAAAGTGACCATCGTTACACGACCATCTAAAAGTGAACAACATACATATACTACCCCTAAACTCATGTCCATACAAAATAAACTAATTGGACAAAGCTTCATGAACAAATGTTCGTATCTGATTATACACAGTTTCGTGGTCAGCGAAAGCGAAGGTCAGTGAAGGAATCACCGGAAGTTGCAGCGATGATCAGAATATACTTTAAAAACTGTTGTATGTTCGCCATTGGAAAAGAAGCTTTGGAGATTAAGGTTTGTAGCCATGAGCGAGAACTGACAGATACTGAAGTCGTATAGATCGTCGGAAAGTGTCGAGATGGTGGTTTGAATGCATCTGATTAGATTCCTCAATCGTGTTTCCTTGTCTTTAAATCCGGCGAATTTCAATTATCGAACAAGAAAGAAGAATCGTGGTGATGTGGATGCGATTTCCAACGTCAAATGGTCAATAGAGTTGGATCTGTCATCAGATTAAAATCGAATTCGAGTTTACCAAATCCAGAATCTGGCGAATTTCCTCATCTTCTTCTGGCAAATGATGGTGGTGATTGATGAAACCGT